GGATCGTGGTGGGTTCATTGGGGGTCTTTATAACCCTAATTACCCTACAATGCTAATTAGGGTTGTGGTGGGTTCATTGGGGGTCTTTATAACCCTAATTACCCTACGATACTAATTAGGGTCGTGGTGGGGTCATTGGGGGTCTCCTCCTGCTCTAATTACCATCCAGGGCTAATTAGGGTCATGGTGGGGTCATTGGGGGTCTTCTATAACCCTAATTACCCCATGATGCTAATTAGGGTCATGGTGGGGTCATTGGGGGCCTCCTCCTGCTCTAATTACCCTACAATGCTAATTAGGGTCATGGTGGGGGTCTTCATAACCCTAATGACCCTATGATGCTAATTAGGGTCATGGTGGGTTCATTAGGGGTCTCCTCCTGCCCTAATTACCCTCCATTGCTAATTAGGGTCATGGTGGGGTGGTTGGGGGACTTCTATAACCCTAATTACCCTCCATTGCTAATTAGGGTCATTGGGGATCTTTATAGCCCTAATGACCCTACGATGCTAATTAGGGTCATGGTGGGGGTCTTCATAGCCCTAATTACCCTCCAGCACTAATTAGGGTCATTGGGGGTCTTTATAACCCTAATGACCCTACGATGCTAATTAGGGTCGTGGTGGGGTGGTTGGGGGTCTTTATAACCCTAATTACCCTATGATGCTAATTAGGGTCATGGTGGGGGTCTTCATAGCCCTAATTACCCTATGATGCTAATTAGGGTCGTGGTGGGGTGGCTGGGGTCTCCTCCTGCTCTAATTACCCTACAATGCTAATTAGGGTCATGGTGGGGTGCTTCATAACCCTAATGACCCTACGATGCTAATTAGGGTTGTGATGGGTTCATTGGGGGTCTTTATAACCCTAATTACCCTCTGATGCTAATTAGGGCCACGATGGGTTCATTGGGGGTCTCCTCCTTCCCTAATTACCCTCCAGTGCTAATTAGGGTCGTGGTGGGTTCATTAGGGGTCTTCATAACCCTAATGACCCTACAATGCTAATTAGGGTCGTGGTGGGGTCATTGGGGGTCTCCTCCTTCTCTAATTACCCTACAATGCTAATTAGGGTCGTGGTGGGTTCATTAGGGGTTTTCATAACCCTAATTACCCTACGATGCTAATTAGGGTCATGGTGGGGGGCTTTATAACCCTAATGAGCCTCCAGTGCTAATTAGGGTCATGGTGGGGTGGTTGGGGGTCTTCTATAACCCTAATTACCCCATGATGCTAATTAGGGTCATGGTGGGGTGGTTGGGGGTCTTTATAACCCTAATTACCCTCCACTGCTAATTAGGATCGCATTGGGCTGCTTGGAGTCCTTCTCCTGCCTCTCTTCCCCCTCCTCATTTCCTTAATTAACGTTAATGAAGCTTCACGGCCCCCCCCAGCTTTAATTCTCTCCCCCCCTCCCCATCCCCTCAAACCCCATTTAATCCCTAATTAACAACCCCCCCTTAATTATCCTCTCACCGCTGCGAATCCTCTCCGATGCCCTCGCTGTCCCCCCAGCCCTTCCAGCCATTAATATAGAGCCCAAGCCAAGCAGGAAGTGGCCATTTGCGTAATTATTGCTCAATCTGTATGCAAATGAGCTCCCGGATGTGGGGCGACGATGACAAAAGAGTTCCAGGAAAGGGTTGGGGTTGCCTTTGATTCTTTCCCAGCAGTTGTTTCTAAAGCTTCCAGGACCTGGGTGGGTCCTCCAAGGTCATAGAGTTGAAGGGGGCAGGGTAGGAGGGTCCTCCAAGGTCATAGAGTTGAAGAGGGTGGGGAAGGAGGGTCCTCCAAGGTCATAGAGATGAAGGGGGTGGGGAAGGAGGGTCCTCCAAGGTCATAGAGTTGAAGAGGGAGGGGAAGGAGGGTCCTCCAAGGTCATAGAGTTGAAGGGGGTGGGGAAGGAGGGTCCTCCAAGGTCATAGAGATGAAGAGGGTGGGGAAGGAGGGTCCTCCAAGGTCATAGAGATGAAGGGGGCAGGGAAGGAGGGTCCTCCAAGGTCATAGAGATGAAGGGGGTGGGGAAGGAGGGTCCTCCAAGGTCATAGAGATGGGGGTTGGTGGGGAAGGAGGGGCATAGAGGGTCATAGAGGGTCATAGAGTTGAAGAGGGTGGGGAAGGAGGGTCCTCCAGGATCATAGAGATGAAGGGGGCAGGGTAGGAGGGTCCTCCAAGGTCATAGAGATGGGGGTTGGTGGAGAAGGAGGGGCATAGAGGGTCATAGAGGGTCATAGAGTTGAAGAGGGTGGGGAAGGAGGGTCCTCCAAGGTCATAGAGATGAAGGGGGCAGGGTAGGAGGGTCCTCCAAGGTCATAGAGATGGGGGTTGGTGGGGAAGGAGGGTCATAGAGGGTCATAGAGGGTCATAGAGTTGAAGAGGGTGGGGTAGGAGGGTCCTCCAAGGTCATAGAGTTGAAGAGGGTGGGGAAGGAGGGTCCTCCAAGGTCATAGAGATGGGGGTTGGTGGGGAAGGAGGGTCATAGAGGGTCATAGAGGGTCATA